TTGCCTTTACTTCAAAATGATATAATATAACTCTTGGAGGATACATATGAGGTAGTCTAAATTGCTTTGCCATCACACATGATCTTTGCATCTATATTTTATCAGAAGTACAAATATTACATTAAACTGATGATATCTTCCTCTAAGCAAATAATTTTGTAACATTCATCAAGAACATGCTAGTCTAAAATTTTGCTGTGCATGGTAGCACATGCTTGCTATCCCAGAAACTCAGGAAACTGACACAGGTTGATTTTAATTTTAGGCCTTACTGTGAAGTTTAGTGGCATTCTGTGAAAGAAAGAGAGAGAGAGAGAGAGAGAGAGAGAGAGAGAGAGAGAGAGAGAAGAAAGAAGAAAGAAGAAAGAAAGAAAGAAAGAAAGAAAGAAATAAAGAAAGAAAGAAAGAAAGAAAGATTAAAGAACCTAAGAGTGTGGCTTAGTGGTAGAATGGTCGTGAGTTCAATCCTCTGTACTTGAAGAAAGAAAAAGATTAAAGGAAAAGAAAGTTAAATAAAATGAGTGATATTAACTAAAACACCTTTCACATCTTATCATACATAATTTGACTATTAAAAATTATTCAACAAATTATTCAGCCTCCTTATAGATCTAATATATCAGGTTTAACTGAAAAATATGATGATCTCCTCAATTTCTTTTCAAATACCACTCCAAAGGACACAAACACTTGAATGCATCTCTGTCTTCTCTCAGAACTTGTCTCTACATTTAAGATGACCTTGCACTATCATACTTCACATAAAAATAGAAAAATGTCATTATTCCTTCTTTTATTTAAAACTGTGGTATTTATGAAATTCTTTATCAACACCCCAACCACTTTCATTATTTTTTTTTTATTTTGCCCCAACCCAAAAGACATAGAGCCCAGGTGCAGTTCACATACTCTTCCCTTTTCATTAACTATAGGTTTTTCTGTAGTCCAGGCATCTGTATATCTAAGGCTCCTAGAGCCCAAATTTCACAATCCAAAATTTATTCCAGATATTCAAGTTAACAGAGATGAATAGTCATTCTGGAATATTTCTATATATGTATGTATTATCTATCTATCTATCTATCTATCTATCTATCTATCTATCTATCTCTGTCTCTCTCTCTCTCATCCCCTATAGAAAAATTAAATTAATGGTGTGTGCAGTAGCATACTCCTGAAATCCATGTGGCTCAAGAGGCTGAAACAGGAGAACTACAAGTTCAAAGCCACCCTCAGCAACTTTGAAAGGCTGTAAGCAAATTAGGGAGACCCTGTCTCTAAATAAAATATTAAAAAGATCTTGGCCATGGCTCAGTGATTAACCATCCCTGGTTAATCCCTAGTACCAAAAACAAAAGTAAAAATAAAATAGTACTCTAGAGCCATTTCCACCAGCAGCATATAGTACCAAACAGGAAGATAGTAAACCTGACTTTGAGAATTACTATTGGAGAAAATAAAATCACCATCATAGCCTGATATGGCAAAATCAATCTCTCCTTGGTGAAAAAAAAATATGGTACAATAATATCAAAATTAAACAAATAAGCCATTAACTGGAGTTAAATCACATTATCTTGCTTTTTAAACTATCATATTTTGCAAGTCATTGTTTTAATCTATATGCTACTGGTCGCACTGGGTAAGTATAATTTTCACATTGAGTATCAATTTTAGGTGTGATTGTATTCCACGGAGCAGCATAGTGAGAAAATAAAAGATGAGGGCCAAGTAAGGCTTGTGTGAAAGCCCAAGGTGTGAGTGGTTCTCCCTGCTTGAGATTAGAGTGCATGAGTTGTTACCCACAGATGCTTATGCATGGGTGAATGCTCAGGCACCAGGATATCAACTGCTGGGCAGGCATTAGTCAAGACACCTGAGATGTGGTTCTAGGAAGACTCATAGCTGCCTCACTGTCTTTCAGTTACAACCTGTCCTGCCTATTGGATCCCCGATTCCAGCAGACCAGTAAACACTCAGGCCTACAAATAATAGACCATTAAATCTCAGAGACAATTAATTTCCAGAGCCAGCAGGGGCACAGGATCTCCCAAATCAGAGAGATTTAGGATAATTATGTTTTCTTATAATCCCTTTCTATGCTTTTTTAAATCATTTTATCCATCATTTCTACATAATATAATCCCAGTTAGTGTTCATTTTTGTTCAAATAATCACAGGTGTGTCTTACATACATGGTTTTTCATTCTTTGTAATTTTTCCACTATAACTCATAAATGGAGATAATTATTAACAAACTTGTATCAATTTTGAGAATGTATTCTATCAGTGAATATATCCTGCACTCATAAAATCCCTTTATAGTTTAAGGTGTTATGAATACTTCTGTATTAAATAAAGTAGCATGGATCTTCATTTTCTTTTGAGAGATATTCTCTGATGATATCATGTAAAGGAGAGTTAGTAGATCATTTTAAATTTGTTTAAAATTTTTTACTTACTCTCTGCTCTCCTGTGCTTTCTTTTGGGCACAGTGCAGGCTTCTTTTTACTGTACTTTCCATAAGCACAATGTTTATTACCATGCCCGTGGGTGCATTGTGCATATTTTCAAATTTCTCCTGTGAAGAGAAATTAGAAATACATTGTTGGTACATTAATTCCTCAAATCATTCCTCAGACATTTCTCAAAATTATTCCAAGTCCTTCCTAGAGGCTTCAAAAACATTATTTCGAGAATATAACACCCATTGGAGATGATCATTAAATGGACAGAAATCCTATTTTTTAAACCTAAAGGAATAAAAACTTTTCAAGGAGCCATGTGGTCTAATGGAAGTGTCAGACTGAGTTGATCCTGAAACCCAGACAAGTGGCTTAGTAGTTCTGAGGCTTTGAACATTTATTTTTTTTTAAACACTGCACAGATTTGTATAAAACTCATCAATAAAAAAAGGCCAAGTAATAATGAATGCCAAAATATCAAGAATGCCAAATGTGTTTACCAGTCCTTGGATTTGGAGTCTCCTTATTATGGCTCCTATACAACTGTGACTAAGGCCAGGCACTATTGTGCACACCTCTAATGCCAGTGGCTGGAGAGACTGAGGCAGGAGGACTCCAAGTTAAAAGCCAATCTTGAAATGTAATGAGGCCTTTAGCAACTTGTTGAGACACTCTCTCAAAATTAAAAAAAAAAGTGTCTGCTGATGTAGCTCAATGGTAAAGTGCCTCTGGGTTCTTCAATAACTAGTACTGCAAAAAAAAAAACCTTTAACTGGACTAAGTGCAAAAGTGCATGTCTGCAGTCCCATTGGTTCTGAAAACTAAGGCTGGAAGACAGGAAGCTTGAGGCCAAACTCATCAGCTTATGGAGATTCTGTCTCAAAATAATAAGAATAATAATAATAAATTCTGGGATATAGATCACTGGTAAAACATCACTGAGTTCAATCCCTAGAAACACACACACATAAGCTCTTCAATGCTTTTGCTTTGCTTTCAGAACCTTACTATTACCATGAAAACAAACCCATATTAGACTACTGGAGGGTGACATATTCTGTGTAGAATAAAGGTACCCCAGTTAAGAGCTCATCCTCTGAAGCACAGCAACCACATCAATCATCAGCTAACTACATGCAGCGGGAGCACCCGAGCTGAGCCAGCCTAAACTAATAACCACTCAATAATGAGCAAATAAGCTTTAGAGTGGCTTATTACCCCATGATAGTTAACTAATATACCCTTCATAAAAGCAGGATTCCAGGATTCAATCCCAAGTTATTTAGAATTATCAAAAGAAGAGCAGATACTCTACAGGTGCTGATTTTCTCTTCTAATTTCAATGGAAGATTTGATCTCTTAGATGGCACTGAAATATAGAAATGCATGTAGACATCTATGCATATGATTGGTGCTAATCCTGATAATACTCCATACATCAGGAGAAAATAGACATCACAACCTGACCCTTGGGCCCAAGGCCAAACTAAAAAATAAGAAGTTTGCCTTGAATCTATTTAAACTCTAAGATATAGACTTTTGACAGATCTGAAGTCAGGGAGCCTCTACCTCCTGGGACTCTATATTTCTTCATTTGCTGCCTGACATCTGGAATTGCAATGGATCTGTTTCCAGCATCCATGCAAAAAGAGTGGTTTATTTTTTGAGATGTCCTGGTTGAAAGTTCCTTCTCTTTGTTCCTGAGGAGATATATTAATTTAAAGTAAATTTGCTCACCTCTAGCATAAAAACAAGGGTGCCAGAACTTTCACCTCCATACAGTCAAGGAAGGCAGAGCTCTGAAATTTTGAATGTGGCTGCTGTGAACACAGATGCGCTGGAATCTTAAATCGAGAGTGCAGTTATATATGTATATATTTCATTAGTAATTTTATATTTGTCACACAATGATAATATTTTGGATACATTTGTTATTAATTTTACTTTTATTCTTTAATTTTAATCTGATTATTAGAAAATTTAAATTTACCCCTGTGCCTCACAATTTGTATGTATTGGACTTTGCTGTCTTTGGAAATTGTTTCCCAGTTCAAACCTTAAGATGCATTCTCATAAGGTCTGACGGTAGAAAAGTTAGATAAAATTTCAAATTAAATTTTAGAAATTTTATCTAACTTTTCTAACTTATGAGAATTCATGAAATTCTCTTCATGAATAATGTAAACACATGTATAATTCGTAAATTGATGTGACCATGTATGCAAAATCCAATTCAAGTGTTCTCCTCTCTGTGTTAGATCCGAGTATTGCAAGGGAACCCAGCCTTAAAACAGCTTTAACCTAAGTTCCCAGCAACTCAAAGGAAAAATATGTTGCAGTCATCAACCTGTCATTGACCTCATTCATTTCTGGGTTGAATTCCTTTTTACTGTCACTCACCTGCAGGCTCCCTAGGTTCAGATTCAGGGGTCAGAGTCTGAAGCAGGATCCAATCAGGAGCGCCTGGGTGAGAACTGTCCAATGACGACACTGTTATTGAAGAGGGGGCGGGCTTCCGTTTTTGAAATCCACCATCTTGGGATTCGCCGGGAGACTCGCTTTCCTGTTCGCAAGAGTCCCAAGGTTGTTCAGCCGTTCAAGGGCGGAAAGATCCCTGTGGAGTACAGCGGGCATCCTGAAAACCAGCAAATGGTGAGTGTGCAGCAGGCATCTTGCGACGAGTAAGGCAGGCTGTTTTACCTGGCGGGATGAGCAAGGCAGGCTGTTTTAACTGGCGGGACCCGCTAAGGTACAAATGGGCGCTCTTTACCGTATTCTCTAGTGCCTGCGGGCCTGAGTCGTCTTCTGGGGCAGTTTAAAAGTTTCTCCCTTTTGTTACAGGGCTGGGACTTTCTGGGAGAAGCGAGGCAAAAAGACAGTTAGTATAGATAATAAATAATTGGGTTCGATCGGGGACGGCGTGGGCTGATAGGAAATTAAAGGAAATGCAATGCGGCGTTTTTTCCTTCGTCATGCTCCCGAAACTCCCACCCACCTCCAACCTGTTGCGAAAGGTAACCTGCTTCAGGTATGATTCCTCCCTGCGAGGAGTTTTAAGAGTTGTTAATTGATACCTCCAGGGCTTTTATCTTACTGCCGGGATCCCCTGACCTTCTGGCTCACCCTGGACTTTGGATGAAGACTTCTGGGAGAGCTAGGCAGCATGAAGCCCACCTTTAAATCCTGATTCTTGAAATGGAGTCAGAAAGATTTTAGACATTGTTACTTAAAAGTTACAGGCATACTTTTTAGAAGGGGTAGAAAAGAGTGGAGACTGTCCTCTCAGAGAAAAGAGGATTTTGGTGTGTTTATTCTGCATTCCAGTTTTATTGGGCATATCAGGGAATTTTTCAGTCTCCTCCAGGCCCACCACTTGACTGTTTTTTGTTTGTTTTTGTGTGTGTAGTGGGTGGTGGAGTTATTGATGTGTTTACTGGCGATTGAACCCCGGGGCACTTCACCCTTGAGTCACATTTCCAACCCTTTTTAAAAAATGTTTTATTTAGACACAGGGTTTCACTGCGTTGTTTAGTGCCTCACTAAGCTTCTGAGGCTGCCTTTGCACTTTTAATTCTCCTGTTTCAGCCTCTCAAACCTCAGGAATGACAGGCATGTGTGTCACTGTGCTCAGCCCCACTTCTTGAATTTTGACTGGCAGCAAGATAATAATTTTCCACTCCCTACTGCCATAAGAAGTCTAGGTTAGGGCTGGGATTGTGGCTCAGCAGTGGAGCGCTCACCTAGCACAGGCAAGACTGGGTTCCATCCTCAGCACCACATAAAAATAAAGGCATTGTATTGTGTCCATCTATACCTAAAAATAAATATTAAAAAAAAGTCTAAGTTATAGGTTTGGGGCTGTGGCTCAGCGGTAAAACACTCACCTAGCACATGCGAGGCCCTGGGTTCGATCCTAAGCACCACATAAAAATAAATAAAATAAAGGTACTTAAAAAGATGTAAGCATAATATGTCTAGGTTACTTTGACCCATGCTGGCTGGTTCTATTAGGAATTTGGTTTTACAGATTTTGTGATTAGGGAAATAATCCTTTTCCCCTGAGTTCAGGGATTTGGTCTGTGAGGGAGTTACCAAAGTCTCTTCCCCTTCAGAGTAACTTGTTTTTCTTATCTGCATTTTGGGCCTGCATATCTTCTGCAGATAATAGCTAGTTTGTGAGTAATGTAACCTATCCTGTTGTTGCAGGGACAAATGAGGCAAGACACCAATAGCAGGAAACAGTTTTATTTGGCTGCAGCCAAATGTATCCCCTGAACCCCGAGTTCAGGTAGTTTCAGAACTTTATACCCAGCATGTAAGGGGAGGAGCTCAGAAGTTCACAGTCTGCAGAAGTTCACCTAAAAGTAGCTTTCCCCCGCCCCCACTGTTTTGGGCAAGTTATCCCTTCAAGGACAACACCTGAGAAGGGAAGAGCTGGCTTCTCCCTTTTTACCCTCCCCCTGCCAGCTGTTACCATGGAGCCCATTTTGTAACTTATCTTAAAAATGTAGACATCTCTGTGAAGCCCAGCTCAAGGCCAGAGGCCATGTTTGCACATTTCTACAAACTCCTATACTGGATATGTTTGTGAAAAACTATGGAGTGCTGATTTCTTGATGGCCAGTGGCCAAGTAAGATAGGACAACACAAAAATAGGAAGTTTATCTACATTGAACTCTTTTGCAGAGAATCTTTTGCTGACAGTCCCAAAATCATATATGGTGAAGATTTCTGGAGAAGCCCAGTTAAGGCTTTTCTGTGGAGACAGGGGGTGTGATTACACTGTTGTCTTTAACTAGGTAGAATTGCAGGTAAATTCCTTTTTTAAACATTAAGGCATGTGGGGATTAGCACAGTTGGTTAATTTAATAGAATTATTCCCTTAACCTCTTGTTCCCACTACAGAAGTCTCTCTGTCCCCTATCAGTTTGCTTCCTATTTGGGCTGTCATAAATAGTGCTATGTTGAAAGTGGAAATGCAGCCATTTCTTTGATCTGCTGATTTCAGTTTATTTGGATGTAGGCCCAAAATTACTTATACTGGATTATATGGTAGTTTTGTTTCGTTTTGTAAATTGTTTTTGTTGTTGTTGTTATAACCTTTATACTATTTTTAAAGTGACTGTACTAAATTTATATTTTTCCAAGTGTACAAGAGTTTCTTTTTTTTTCCATATTCATATACTCCCAAGTGTGAGATCAGGCAAAGTAGGCAGCAACCAAAGGAGGCAGATTTAAAAAGGTCGATGAACGGGGCTTTATTTGAGAAGGGTCTGAGTAGAAACTGCATGGGAACTCGACTGGACTGGAATTTTCTGGGGCTTATGGCAGGAAGGAAAGGTTCTTGGGACAGGAAAAGGTGTTTTAGAGTCTCTTGTCCTGCTGGAGTTGGTCAGGGGGAACTGGCTGAAATCTAGGATTGGTCAGGAGACCCTGCTGATTGACAGGCATTAACCGGGAGATCCCAGTGTTTCTGTCCGCCCCTGATTGATGTTTCTTTCCTGCAGGGGCTGCTTTGTCACCACCACTGACCTGACACTAAGCAATTAGTTTTCTTTGAGTTTTTTTGACAGTAGTCATTGTAACAGTTGTACACAGGCTGCTGTAACAGTTGTACACAGGCTGCAGTGTATGTTCTTTGCTGTATCAATCCCTGATTCAAGTTTGTTAGATTTCAGGCTATCAAGTAGCCACTGGAAGAGTGATATATAAAAGAGTTTTGGGAACAGTGATCTGTTATTTTTAACCCTTCCTGCACTACTGACTGTAGCCCTTGGAAGTGCTTGCACACCAGTGTAAAACCACTTGTTTGTCATCCAGGAGATTTTCCTATGCTCAGTCATATCCATATGCTCCCAGAGCTTGGGGATTTAGAAGTATTTCCTTGAATGGAAGATGTGAAAATTGAGACATGAAAAAAAATCCTGCAGTAATTGGTAGGAGTGGAGTTATTTACAGGCAAAAGATAGTGGAGAGACCTGAAATATTGAACTTTCACTCAGACTGCCAGAAATCTGCTTTATTTCCCTTATTAAATCCACAATGCAGGATACATAAAAGTTCATCAGTAGCATTTCAAAGAATATTCTGAAAAAAATCCTAATAGAGAAATCAAGAGGTATAGATTTAATACCATAGAAAACCCCCACTATTTTCTGTGGTTTGATATCTGTATATCTTGAGTCTTCTTCAGTAATACAAAAAATTAATATGCAAACAACAGGAGACTTTAGAGATGGGGATACAGACACACACACACACACACACACACATACAGTCTTACTCTCCTTAGGGTGACATTAAATGTTGGGGATTCTGTTCCTGTTTTATGGTACATTTTCCTAAGTAGTATTAATGTCTAAGTTACCCCAGGTTTCTTAGTAATTTTATAATTTCTCAGTTGTCCGATGCATGTATCTTTCATTAATGACTTTATCTGGAAAGGACTTGAAATATAAGTAGATATTTTTTCAGTGTATTTGTGGATGCAGGGAGATTCAGGAGCTTCCTATTCTGTAACTGCAATATAAATCCCGCTTAACGTTTTCCTTGGGTTGTGCTGTTGGGGTTTGAACCTATTGCCTTGCATGTTCTGCACAGATATTTTATCAGTGAATTGTGCCTCACCCTCAACATCAGCCTTTAGAATGGGTTGTATCATCCTTTCACGTTTTTTTTCCTTTAGCAGTTCGGGGGATTAAACCTAGAAGTACATCTCATCCCTTTTAAATTTTATTTATTTATTTATTTTAATATTTTTTAATAGTAGTTGAACACAATACTTTTATTTTTTTGAATTTAATTTTATATGGTGCCGAGGATCGAACCCAGGGACTTGCATATGCTAGGTGAGTGCTCTACTACTGAACCATAACCCCAGCCCTTTTTAAATATTAAAGTTTTCACTAAATTTCACAGATTGACTTCAAACTTGAGTTCCTCTTTCCTCAGCCTCTTAAGGATCTGGCACCACTGGTGTGCACCACCATATCCACCCTGTAACTCCCTCCCTTATAGTAACGTGCAAATGTTTCATATTTTGTTTTAATATCTAAGTATTTATTACCTCTGAGTTTTTTTATTTTATGTAATTTTATTATAGGATTAGAATTATTTTATTGTATTACAGTTTTGAATCTCTTACTATGCCTAATTTGTAAAGTAAATGTTATCATAGCTGTATAACTATATATTAAATTTCAGTACTATTCAAGGGCATTTATCTTGTAATGTGTCCCCTGAGAATAAGGTAGGTCTAATATATAAGGACATGAGTGCAGCCAATTGTCTGCTAAGCTTTGGGTGAGGTAAGCTCCAGAAGGCTTGAGTCAGGTTTTTGGGAATATATCTTATTGAAAGAGAGAGAGATTTTAGTGCTACTCTAGTGCCTAGCAACAAATAAAGTCTTAATGAACCTTTCATGACAGAGTGGACAGGTTTCATGACTGAGGGAACTGGGCTTCATGAAGGGCAGATATGTTCTTGCTACCCTGACTCCATGCAGACAAAAGTAATTAGGTTGTCTTTAATCAATTGTTGCATAAGTAGGTTGACATGTAAAAGGTGAGCAATGCAGAAATTCTGAGAACACAGGTTGCTGGCTTGGCTCAGAGGTGTGCCACCCTCAAGATATCCCCAAATTTGAACTCAGT